CATGCGGCCAGTGTGACTGAGGAACTAACGTTGAAATTCTAATTAATGTAGGCAGCCAGATGTGGCTACTGGCTACACTATTGAACAGTGTACCTCCAGAGGAGTGCTGGGCTTAAAGACTTCAGTGAGCCACAAAATATTACTTCAGAAAGACATTTTCATAGTGAAAATACTATATTATCTACTTAAAAGTTACTAAAAGAGTAGATCTTAAATGTTTTTACCACAAAAAAAGAACTGTAATTATGTGAGGTGATGGATGTTAACCAACCTTACTGTGGCAGTCATTTTGCAATATTATACGTGTACCAAATCATCACGTTGAACATCTTAAACTTACACAATGTTATGTTGCAATTACATCTCAATGAAGCTGGAAAAAATTAACAGAAGCTATTTTGATATCATTCCACACAGTAGACGACGAGTCACGATGTACAAGCATACATGATGGGCAATATTGCTCAAGTAGTCTGGTTAATCTTCTCTACTTTGTAATCTCTTGGTTTCCAAAGCTACTCTCCCACCTACTACTTTGGCCTGCTATTAAAAGTTAACATCGCTTATAAGAAAACGTAGGGGAAAATCCTCTGACATTGAGTTTGGCAATGATTTCTTGGATATGACACTAAAAGCACAGGCAACAAAAAGAAAAATAGATAAATTGGATGTCCCCCAAATTAAATGCTTTTGTGCACCAAAGGACACAGTCAAGAGAGTAAAAACACATCCCACAGAATGGGAGAAAATATTTGCAAATCACATATCTGATAAGGGATTAATATTCAGAATATACAAAGAACGGCTATAACTCAACAAGAAAAACCCAAACAGCCCAATTGAAAAATGGGCAAAGGACTTGAAGAGACATTTCTCCAAAGAAAATATCCAAATGGCCAACAAACACATGAAAAGATGCTCAACGTCACAAGTCATTAGGAAAATGCAAATCAAAACCACAATGAGATACACTGCACACTCATTAGGATGGCTACTATCATAAGAACAGTAACTAACAAGCATTCGATGGGATGCTGAGAAATTGGAACGTTCATGCATTTCTGGTGGGAATGTAACATGGTGCAGCCACTGTGGAAAACAGTATGGCAGTTCTTAGAAAAGTTCAACATAGGATTACCTCCTGATCCAGCAATTCCACTTCTGGGTAGATACACAAAAGAAATGAACACAGAAACTCAAGAGCTATTTGTACACCCATGTTCACAGCAGCATTATTCACAATAGTTGAAAGGCAGAAGCAACCCAAGTGCCCATCAACAGATGAATGGATTAACAAATGTGGTGTATCCATATGGTGGAATATGATTCAGCCTTAAAAAGGAAGGAAATTCGGACACATGCTACATCGTGGATGAACCTTGAGGACATCATGCTGAGTGAAATAAGCCAGTCACAAATAGACAAATGCTGTGATTCCACCTACAAGAGGTACTGAGATTAGTCAAAGTCACAGAGACAGAGAGTAGGATGGAGATTATACAGCCCCCTACACAAGGAGGTGTTGACTGATGCACACTCACCATGTGACAGGAAAACAGTAAAGCAAACCAGATTCTGAGAGGAGACAGGGAGCTGGACAGATGGCTGCATGGGCACTGGACACATCCATACTCCATGGTGAGATCACTTAGGGATGCACCGCCTGCCAACAGGAGCTTGAAATGCAGCTCCTAAACATCTGCCGACACCGGCAGGTGACTCATCAAACGAAAGCCCCAGGCCCGGGGACCCCACCAACAAAAGGAATGGGACCCAACACACTTGGGGCCTCTGAACACCGCCAGTGGCTTCCTCAGCACGGCCATTCTCAGCAGCTGGGCTCTGGGAGGGCCTGGGCGAGCGAAGCCTGATGTCACCCCAGGGTGACCTAGCCAGAGTAACTCGGGAAGCTCCACCACCCGCCTGGCACTCCTCAGTCCTTCAAAAATTGTGATGAAATAGGAAAAAAAAAAAAGCCCTGGGTAAAGAGATGTCACTGACAACAATTTAAAAAGCCCAACCTTGGAAACTGTCATCTGCAAATACACTGTGGCTACGTTTGAGCTCGGTGCTTCAGTGAGAGAGGAAGACGCTACCTGAAAATCAATTCTGATGCAAAATATTAATTATGAGTTAGAAACGCATTTGCAGCAACAGAAGAAATGTGCAGAAGAATTTTACAGATTGATACTGCTTTCCCGCCCCCAGTCCTGTGCAGAGCCCCAGACTATCTACTTTGATTTCAAACTGCATTGTTGTCTGCTTGCTAATAAACTAGACGGCAGAGAAAGAACCTCAATTACTCCTGGTTTATTCTCAAAGGCCCTGAAACAGGCCCGAAGGCCTTAATCCCTGGACGCTGTGTGAATGGGTGCAGCTGGGCTCGGCCGCAAGTGCTCTCAGGTCTGTGCTCAGGCTGGAGGACTCGACGTTAGCGCCGGGCTGCGCAGGAAAGCTTTGGAAAGGCATTCTTTGGTCCTCGCGCAATTCATTCCTTTTAAGAAAAGGAAATGGGAAGAAAGGTTTCGTGTCCAGGCTCTGGGCCTTTGATCATTTGATGAACGCGGGGTCTGCAGCGCGGGCCTCCGGCTTCTCAGGCCAGACAAAGGCGGCCCCGGCCGCACAGGCCGAACGCGTCTGCACCAGAACAAAGCCCCGGGCGGCCGCTCAGTGTGGCGTCCTGGGAAAGGCCCACCTCGGCTGGCAGAGGGGCCGCCCTGCCCTTTGATCTCCCCTGAGACCACGGCCGGCCGGGGCCCTGGGTCAGAGGATTTCACACTGCATGCCCCCTGGGCAGAGGGGAGCAGGTCAGGAACAGAATGAGGGGTGACCAATCTCAGAAGGAGCCCGGAGCCTGCCCTCCCCGGCCAGTTCCACACGGCTGGGCTGGCATTGTTGAACGCCGCCCACACTTCAAGTGGAAGCTGACATTACATGGTTGCACCAAGCCAGCCGAAGGCGGGCTGCAGGCACGGATAATGCAGTCAGCCTGCCCCAGGGCCGGAAGCTCAGGCCGGGACATTCTTCTCCACGACTGCTTCTGGGTGAGGGGGACCTGCGTCACTTGGAACCCAGGTTCTGTCACATCAAGCAGGTGGACTCCAGGGTAACCCCACGATCCTGAGAAACCAGCACCACCCCCACCGCCCGAGCTCCCTCCCTCGAGGAGTCAGGTGCCATTCCGATGTGACTGCACCAGCGGTGTACTGTTCACACTGCTTACGAACACAGGCGTCATCTCAAATCTGTGCGTCGATCTGTAGACTTTGGAAGGTATTTTGGTTTAACAGGAAGGAAATATTATGTGCGTGACACATGGAGAAGGGAGGGTGGATGATGGGGAAGAAATACAAATTCCAGCGAGAGCTCCAGGCGCCCAGTAAGTGCACATTTGCAAATGAGGAGGTGTATTTGATGAGACACAGAGGCACTAATGGATAGGGAACGAATGACCTTTTAACTAAAAAAGTCAGGATTATGTTATGATCTAAAAACAAAACACTTATTAAGAGCCACATAGGAGCATCTGCATTTGGTGTTAGTTTGTCTCTTTGTTTGCACATCACCAGCAGTAATTTAGGTGCTTACAGTATTATTCGATGGTGCAAAAGCAACTCCATCGTCTCCCCAGCACCAGCAGAGGCGCCCACAGACATCAGGTTGGTGGGGAGAGCCTGGGGTGCGGGTCCCAGTCCTCTAGTACCGAGTTGTGGGCGTGAGATAATTTACCCAAGCTCTCTAGTCCTCGGATGTGAACCAATGAGCTACTGGTTTATCTTCACATATCTATACCCTTGGGCTGAACATGTGTTCTATTTGTCTTTTAACCAGAAGAAAATGGAGTCAGGGAAAGGCCTATTTTAGAGTTGCTGACACTTGTGTGAAAATGTGTAAAAAAACTGCTGGGCAAAGGATGAAGAACGCACGTTATGGAAGGTGGAAGTCTCTATGTAAGAACACACATGTGCATGTGCGTGCATGTGCGTGTTGAGACAGAATGATTTATTCACAGGTGGGAAAGAGACCATAAAAGGTCACCCATTTCAGCGTTCTCTCCTAGGTTCCAGGGGACGCTGAGCAACTTCACAACAAAAATGGTGTCTCTCCAGACAGATGTGGGCGCTGCCGGGTCTGAGAATCTGGACAGGTCTCCCCACGGCAGCTTTCCCCAGGCTCTGAGCTAACACGCGTGGTTCTCCAAGAGGCGGGTCCAGCAGGAATCTTCTCCCCGGCTTGACTATGGAGCGCTCTCTTTGGTCTGTGCAGGGCCCCCACGGGCTTGTTCTGCAGAACACATCCTGAGAAATGCCAGACTAGCTCAAGACCCATGATTTCATGGGAGGAGAGGGGCCCAGAGGGTGAACTGTGCCCAGAGTGATAACACTCATCCAGGCAGAGCCGGAACCACTCACAGGTCAGTTCTCCACACACCACTGGGCTCTCCCATGAGGAGGCTTCAAGGCTAAGGCCTCCCATGCTGTCTTGGGGAGGAAAAGATCCAGGAATACAGACAGGGATTCACTTAGATAAAAAGATGTTAAAAAAGCAGTGTTCAAAAGGTGTATGTGAGGCAAGGTGATTTATATTTGACGACAATTACAACCAGAGATTTTAGGTGACTCTAGAACGAAAACTAAATGATATTCTGCAAATAGAGTTGTAATAACAGGGAAGGTTTGTAGGGAACACTTTAGGGATATTCTGAACTGCTACGACTTTAAAGATCCAAAGGTTGCCTTCTCCTTGATGCCGATGTTAATACCTAACGTATTCAGCAAGTGCTTATCCAGCACCTCTGCATGCTGAGCCCAGTGCTGGACGCTGGGTGGAGGCTGGTAACAAAGGAGAACCCTCAGCAAGAACCGTGCTTGCTGCAAACAGCTTTCATATGATTCAGGGAAGGGACAACAATCAGCTAATTTTTTCCAAGGCCTTCTGTGAATATTATACCCGAGGTTGCCATAGCAACGCCATTCCCGGCTCTGAGCTCCGAGTCTCACCTTTGGCCATCTTATTGAGAACCATGTCGATCAGGACGTAGGTGCCACTCCTGCCCGCGCCGTCGCTGTCAACAGAAGGAGAGAGATGAAAACAGTTATCCCCAGGCCCAACAAAGCCAGAGACAGCTTATTTCCTTCTGTGTTTAAGTGCGGCCTGCAAGGGGAGAGGAAGGCTGTGAACTGGAGAGAAAGGAAGAAAGCGAGTGAGGAAGAATCACAGGGTGGGAGCCGGGGTGGAGAAGGAGGGGCAGGAGGTGGAGGAGGAGGGAGAGGAGGAAGGGGAGGGGGAAGGAGGGAGGAGGAGGGGGAGGGAGAGGAGGAAGGGGAGGGGGGGAGAGGGGAGGAGGGGAAGAGGGAAGAAGGGAGGAGGGGGAGGAGGAAGCAGGAAGGAAACCAGAGAGCTTTAAGCTCGAGCAGCACTGTGGATTAGCTATTGTGCCTGCGTAGACTTGTTTCTTCTCTTTCCCCCTCTTTGGCCAAAGATATGGGAAGTTTTGTCAGAAAAAAACGAAATAAAGAAACGTCTGGCTGTGTCTGGGTTGACGGCATTTGTATTCACAGTATCTGCAGGTCTCTCTGTGAGCAAGGGCGGGTGAGCTCCTGGCAGAGAGGGAGGGTGCCGGGCATCCCTGGGGCTGGCGCCCGCCGCCCCCCCCCCCGCCCGGTAGACCCCACCTTTCCCTTGCAGAAGCAGAGGCACAGGTGTCACTCGTCACTTAGCAGAGCCTCCTTTCGTTTCTGCTTCATCTCCCAGCTACAACTGGAATATTGACCATCTGGAGTTGTAAAAATGTTTTGAATTGTGCCTCAACAATAGCGAATGAAAGAGAACGAAGCTCGTAAGGAATGTGTAAGCCACTTCCTTCCCCACGTGGATGTGTCACCAAGCTACGCGAGTGTGAGATGTTCTTCCTACAGTAAAGAATCACTGGGCTTGGCTTTAACATGTTTTCTCAAACACATGGCTGAAAAAAGCTGCAGTTGGAAAGATAAATATCCCACACACTGTACTTTCATGTGTCCATCTTCACTGTCTTAGAGGAGATGCACAGAGCCTGCCTGGCCTCTGACCTGTACCCTCGATATGAGCAGCCACAGCTGCTCTCTGCGTCTGAGGGCTCCCTCTCTGTGCATGACTTCTCTTCAGACCACTGTTCTGAGATCTACTACACAAACCTTCCAACTAACTGTAGCTCGTCCTGGGACATCTGTGGGTAAAAGATGTTCTATTCTACTCTTTGAGGACCCCAAACCATACTCTGTTCTCTTCCTCCTCTCGCACGACTGACACAGAAATGCACCACACATGTATGCATGCGCGCGCGCACAGACGCACACGCTCACTTTTGATTGAATCGACAGACTTGGTGTTTGATCTTTGGAGACATATTTCCTTTTTATCCCAGGCAGAAAGGAACATTCTACAACAATCTAGAAAGTGAAGTACGGTTCTTCACCAAAAATAGGTGGACATCGAGCTCAGTAGAAGAAACCCCCTTGGAGTGAGCTTTCTTCCACTGGATCTATTCTTCCTGGTGTGGGTGGAACAGACTTAAGGATACGAGCCACTGAATGTTCACCCAAAGGCCCAGCCTCACACAACAAGCTGGAGGTGGCCACTCCTCTTGTAGTGACAGGTTTGTCCCTATTCATAACTGGCCCCGAGCACTTCCACTGTCTGCGCAGGGTAGGGTTCCAAACCTCAGCTGAGTGTACTGGTGGCTGAGACAATGCAGTAGATCAAAAACATCGTCTCAGAGTGTTCATGTAGTGGCACCACGGGGGTTTAAGAAAAAACAAGGTGGTGGGTACAAACATGGAAATAGATGACGGCCCCCAGCACTGGGGCTGGCCAGAAAGAAAACACCACGTGCAGTGAAATAAACACACAGCTTCGTTTAGTAAATGGCATAGAAAATTAAGTTTACACCTTTGGTTTCCTGTAGAAGTACCAGTTTGATGTATTTATTAAGCAATTAGAAAGTTCAACTTTTATATTTAATTGTAGTTTACTTTTGGAGGTAGTGAACACTTCTTAATCCATGTTAAAAGTTGTACTTGCCTGCAGTGAACAATTATTGGACAAGAACGGCCCCTGTAGCACTTGTTTACTTTTCTGAAATAGAAAGAGACACAGAAATTATGGTTATGAACTACAGCTCTTGTATTATGAGATCCAAATTAATTAATAAGCCAAAGCAAAGAGACCCTATCTTTGACATCAATTTGCAATAGCCTGTTTTGACAAAGAAAATAAAAATTACACACACATTTTCAAAGATTTATTTTTCAATATTAAATTATTAAACAGAGCTTTAAAAACAAATCTTACATTTTCACAATTTTCTTTTTCCCTTTACAAGAATGAACTCAAGGTCTTAGGTCAATGGACCCCCCCCCCAGCCCACCCCTTTCTTTTGTTGCTTCAGGTAATTTGACTTTTTTTTTGTTGTGATACGCGTGTCTAGATTCTTCACTGAAATTTTTGAGTTTTGCAATTTATGCTCAAAATTTCTTATAGTCTAGACATCATATTGGGATGTAACATTACTATATTATCTCAAAACAGCATCTTTAAGATCCTTTTTGATCTGTCAATTTTGTAAGGATACCTAAATTACGGAGAAACTTCAATTACGTCCAAGACAAGTCTTTCCATTTTTATGAATTTGAATTATGTTTAAAAACAACTCCGTTGTGCAGATTTTAGATCAAAATTTACGAAAATTAACAATAAGCCTAGATGAAGATTTTGTAACCAAGCCCTAAGTCAAAACAGAGGGCTGATTTAAAATTCACTGTAGAAACTCCAAATTTTTTTTAAGTCAGCGAAACAAGTAAACATGTTTACAAAGTACATCAAAGTTCTCAGTAAAATATTTCTGAATAAAGAAAATTAAAGACAGAATCTTGGTTTATTGCAAGGAAAAACTGTGCGTGTGAAGGAGTGTGTTCTAAGTGTGACGTATGAATTTCTACAATATAAGACAAGAAGTAAAATTTTAAAAAGAATGACAGTACAGAAAAATCTTTTTCCTTGTACCAGAAACGGGCCAATGTCCATTTCTTTGCAAAGGCTTGCCTGCCCAGCATGGAAGTTGTCAGGTGAAAGTGAAAATTCAATCCACTGGCTGCTTTGCTATAAAACCCTACAGGCCAAGAGGACAGGAGGAGGGGGGTTGGGGGGGCGAGTGCAGGAGCTGACTACGAACAGAGCGGATATTCTCATGTCATGTACCAAACCATCACAGTGGTTTTGTTTTTTTCTACTTCCTTTACGGAGGGAACAGAATGAGGTGCTTTTGAAGTGAGGCCTGTGCCCCGCCCGGAACAGCGCGTGGAAGATGCAGGAGCAGAGCCTGGAGTGGACAAGCGACACGCCTGAGCCGGGCCGCTCCAAGCCCATTGAGGGCAACATGTGAGCTGTGGCTGCTCCCCTCCATCTGAAGCTTGCAGACCACCCAAGAATGCTTACAGACGAGAGGGCCCAGAAGCACGGGTGAAACAAGGGGCTCAGTGTCCCCATGGCGGGGTCACCATTTCTGCTGGAGCCTTTTCTTGCTTTTGATGTATCCCACAATGTTAAGGTTTAGGGGGAAAGGTAAAGAAAGTGAAAGTGAACTCATTAAAATCAACGTGTAGCCAGAATGCCTGAAAAATTCTTGGCCCTTTGAGAATAAAACAGATGGGAAAATAGATCATTCCTTTCTCCTTCTAAAACCTCCTATTCTTAACTCAGGTCGTAGAGGAACGTGAGCTTTAGCTCTGACGAAATAGATGCCAGACTCTAAGGATGTATCTCAAGTGTGAGCAACGTGAAGCCCCCTAGTTCAACCAAGGCTGTGTGTATGTGTGTGTGTGCGTGCATGGACACACGTGTGTGCATGCACTGTGTGCACGCGTGTGTGTGCAGAATCAAGCAAGCTCAACTGTCAGATCGGATCTGGGGTGGCTTTTTCTCTACAGGCCTTTCACTTTCAAACAGAAGATTTTACTGAAAATTTCTTAGTCACTGAGTCTTTTGAAGGTGAACCACCCCAGCTCTGCACCTGCAACATTCTGTTATATTCACACTCGACGGTCCAGCCTGTGTTTGTAAAGACTCAACTCAACGTTTGCTTGTTCACACACTGGTCAATCACCAGGTTTTGGTCATTTTTTTCTGATGGGACCAAGCACAAAAAAAGTACATTAAAAAAAATAAACAACCAGATAACCTTCTTTAAGCCGTACTGGTTTCAGAAAAGTTAAATGTAAGGAATTAGTGGGACAGCAGCGTCCCATTTACAGCTAGTCGGCCACCTCTTTGGCAAAACACGGTCAGAATAACCTCCCTGGTTAAGAAATATTGCTAAAAAGCAAATTACTGGCTACTATGGCTGCGACTTGCTTCTGCATTCCTGCAATTCCTGTCTTTATTTTATGGTATATTTAAATATTGTTTTCTCCATGTCGTGACTGCTACCTCAGCAGGACCTGGGAAGGTTTCGCTGTAATTTTAACATCCACGCCAGCCCCGCCCCGTGCGAAACCTACTTACAAACAGCCACAAGAAATCAAGGAGACGAGCGGTGTAAATATATCGTGCTGCTACGGATCAGAATTTTATTCTCAAAGAATCATGTGCTTGTGTTATCACAACATCAAACATCACAGGGAGAGAAGCAAAGGCACCACACAGCCAACAGAGCGCTCATCTGGTCGACCCGAGATAGGGACGCGGATTATCGGGAAGGTGAGCCACACGCAGCTGTCTCATTTGACTCTATCAGAACAAATCATCGGTAAGCAAAGGTGGCACACATTAGGAAACATATACACTTCAGCAGGAGGCATTCACTGAGAAAGAAGGATTAGTAATACAAACCAACCCACGGTCACTGAGTGAGAAGGAACCGTCATGCAACCAACAGCAAGCAAAGGTCAGAGGTCGTTAGAAGCTCAGAAAAGGGGCTTCCCACACTGTCCCTGCAGTACAGTCACAGTTTCCAATGATCACTTTTGTGACTATGCAACTGGGCTCATATTACTAGCTGCAACATCACAAAAATGACACTGGCCACCGCTAATTAGCTGGCAAGGTAAGGGTTTGTCCATTTTTAGAGTGAGCAGCGTTAGTGAATGTCATGGCACACAGCAAGAAGGGAGAGAATGATAGAGAGAGAGAGAATGTTTTTAAAGCAAAGCCCTCACATGTGATGCTAATTATCTCTTAGCTTAGCAGTTTCTCTTTAAAGTGTAAATGTGCTCCCTCTGGGCTCCAGAAATATTTAATTACACATCTCGGTGCCTGACGAACACACTAGGCCAGAGCGAGAATGAACGCTGGTCTACTGTTCAAAGGAAAACTAGAAGGCCTGTTGCATTGAAATGACCAGTGGCTCCAGAAGCCGTCTCACCTTTCCGATCCCTGAAATGTGGGTGGCTATTTTGCATAGGCAATCACAAAGCAGCAATACGTGTCTAAGCATGATGCTCTCTGAGAATGTGATCACTCATACCCATTGTCAGTTAATGCATGAAAGGCAGCCTTGTCTGAAATAGCGGGGAGTACCAGATAAGGTGAGCCAGAAAGGCTTTTGATTCTAATGAGACTTTCAAAACCGTGTCTGGGGGTTCGTGTTCCTTTTAACATGAGCTCTATCTCCAAAGACTCTGGCGAAAGGGAATTTTGGGAGTCCAATTTTTCTTCATGACAAATTGTAAGCACAGAGGGTTGGTTATGTATTGTTCAATTCCATACATGGATATGGATATAGAAATATGCCCATATGCATATATGTACAAACACACTGGATGAGCATAAAGACGGATTCAGATGAACTGCCATCTTTGTAGCTTCATCCATTTTGCCAGTAATGACTGTTTTTTGAAGACGCTATCTCAGGAAATGTGCCCTAGGTAAGATTTTTAGATAGCATGTCTTTAGAAATAAATTCGTATCAAGAAAATGTAAAAAATAGCCAGGAAATTAGGATGGATTGGGAAGGCACTGCATGTAGGCACTGTTTTCGGACGCGTTCGGGATTTGATGCATGGCGCCCCCTCTGCTCTTTGGGAGAGGTGATGGAGTAGGGACGGGGTCACCAAATGTGTATTAATGGCTGTGACGCCAATGCCTGTCTCTCCTTGAGCTCTTTCACATGGTATTTGATCCAAAAATCTACCCAAATAAAAAGATTTGTTTTGTTTTTCAAAGTAGACTAAAGGGAAAAGAAACAGTATCCCAATAACCTTAAGAATCTCTAAGATACAAATTCAAGAAATCCAGAGATAAGCCTGCATCCCCATCTTTATGACAATACTTGCCTTTCCCACCTCCCTCCAATTACATAACTGTGGACTCAGGGATGGATGGCCGTTCAGATACAGATCACTTTGTGATGGTGTACGAGGCTGGAGTAGGTGCATTTTGTCCTTATTCTCTAATTCTGTGTTTTCAAAATGTATCTGTTGTCCTTACTAGGTGGGTTTCCAACCAGTTCAATGCAAGAGAGGTTCAATGAAACTTAGAACTTGGTACTGATGCTGCTCAACACCTTCACTTTCCTCGTCGTTGTTGATCCATTTACCACCATTAAATAGCCAGTTGCTAGCCAACTTTCACCAAACCTGATGTACAATCAAAGCTTCCATCTTAAATTTTGCTTTTTTTGCCTTGTCAATATCTTCCTCCAAGACGGAGTCTAGCATTCATTTCAACGGTTCAATAAACACACTTTAAAACAAGACAACGCATTGGATGACTAGCTGACTAGAGCATGAACAAAAGACTGGATGTTTTTAAACTGTCAGTTTCAAAACTGCACTAAAAATACATACAGTCATGTGCTAACTATATCCAGGCTTTCATCCAAGATGATCCATTTTAGAATCTGGGCCTACGCTTGTTAAATCTCATTTCATATCTAACCAGATGAGTATCCAAACTAAAAATCTGGGTTTTATTCATCCATATTCTATGAAATAGAAATGTTGGGACTCTTCATCACTTGAAGAGTCTTATGAAAAATAATGACCATATTTCCACAATTCTAAGACACCTATTCCCCCCTCACATTTTAACGCATCTAAAACTAGAAAACATCTTTCAATCAATATGTACAATTAATATAATTTCCCTCCCCTACATATAATATAAATATATTTATACTATGTTAATATAGCGCAGATGGAACATCTTACAGCTAATGGCATCTTAGACACAAGGAGATCCGGTATTGAACTGTGCTCCCTTCTATCTGAGTCAACCCTCTGAATTCGTTAGCCTGCTTGCAGGCTGTTTGTCATACCTGCGGAAATCCAGAAGGGACCTCGTGGAGGAAGGCACTCCCTGGTCATACCAGCTCAGGAAGTGGAATTGGGTCACGGTGCGCGTCTCGTTGGTTTGAAGGTTCTTCAGATAAAAGCTCCTCACGAGGAAATCCTCACACCAGATGTGCTCAGAGACCAGGTTCACCTGGGTGGAAAGGAGGAGAGGGAGACAGAGCCAGGCGTGGGCATGGGGGGCCTACAACTTTGCCCGGCACGGAGCTACACTGAGGAGAGAAGGGTAAACACTACAAGGACGACAAATTTTACATCGCAGGTGGGTTGACAACCGACTCAATGGCCCCCTCCCACCTTCTCAATTTCAACATGGTTTAGACAAAAGCTAACTTGGTGGGTTTTTTTGTTTAATGTTACATAGGGGCATAATAGTCAAATTATAAGAAAAATATGTTACAAAACTATTCCATTTTTTGTCTTTTGTATTCTTAAGCCATATCACTGGAGAAAAATTATACCTTTGAACAAAAATACCAGCGGGGTTCCACTCTAACTTAAATTGCAGCACAGACGGCACTACCTGGATGTAGAAAGAGGGGGCCACAGGCTTCTCGCAGATACACTGACGTGACCTGAGCGCTCACTCTTCTCGGGTTTAAGCCCATTTGCAGTGACCCCAAAGACACAACTATGTGATTTAGGATTAATAGTTAGGCTGCTAACACGGTCCCTACTGTGGGACTTCGGCATTCGGACTAACTTGAATGCAAAACAGAGCCAAAGGGGGCATCTGGTGCTGGTTTAACTGCCAAGTTTGCATAGCTCCTTCTTGACGCGGGTAGAAAACCCAGCAACAGAACAAGCTTGCCAGCGGGCTGCCCTCAAGTAAAAAGGTGGAGCGCTGCAACATGAGCCTCGGAACACGGTGGTGGGAGACACAGGGCGCACAGGGAGCAATAAGCCATGAGCGTAAGGGCAGGTCTTTTTCTGAAAACCGTCCCACTAAAAGGGCTGTGATTTGGGACCTAGCTCATGGACCACCCTGTGAGGTACATATTTTTTTGCCCTTTCTGTCCGCATTTGGATTCATAAAACTTTAAAAATGAAAACCATGCTCTTTATGTCAGAGTCCGAGTCACCGAGGCACGGCTGTTTGGAGGGTCTGGGTGTCTACTGACCTCGGGGTCCTGGGGATGCCTGGCCCCCACTGGCCCCACAGGCCTGCTTGCCAGCCTCCCCCGAGGGGCCGGCTCCTGGCGGGGACATGACTGCACAGTGTGGCCTCAATGCGGACAGCGGCAGGCTCTCCTCGCCGGGCAGGTCCCCGCGTCTGCCATGAGCCCCGGGGGTGGGGGGTGCCTTTGTGGGTACCTCGTAGATGTGATAAAGGTTGGAGCCTTCGTCCGGCCAGTAGTGGTAGCACTGTCTGACGCCGTTCTCCGAGAGGGGGGTCAGCATGACGATAACCACACAGCCGCTCTCCCACACCATCTGCAGACAAAGAAAGGCCCGTGGCCGCGGCGTGACTGGCTCCTCACCGCGTGACACGTGTAATTACTGCACCCAGAGAACAGTCCAAATTTATTCCATTCACAGGAAATTTATTTCATTTTCATTAGACACTTTTACTCTGCAGCTGCTGTCGCATCTCTGAATACGCTGGCCCCATATTTTGCACGTTCCATGAAACATTAAAAAAAAAGAACCCAGTGAATTCACTCTGCACCTTTTAAAACCTCCTCAGTTGCACGCTCAGCTGTTTGGCTTCCCAACTTCTGATCTCGAAGGGAGACGTTCTATAACGCAACACACAGACAACGTGCAGCCGATGTTCCCCCTTCCACGGCAGGCTGGCTGCTGCCCCAACAGAAATGCCCACTTCTCCGTGTGACGCACACAAAAATCCCTTGACACGCTCATTTTTCGGTAGTCGTCATTACTTTGTGTGACTAGAGAAACGTTTTGCTCTGTGAAGCTGCTCTCCTACTGGAGGCAGGCTCTGGAGGGATTCTTTTCCAAGTGCATTACAGAAAGCAGCAGCTCACCACTGGAATTTCATTACTTATACCAAAATAGAGCAATACTATTCAAATTAAAGCAAGTCCAAAACTGATTTAATACATCATAACAGCCACATTAAAAAACAACTTCAAGACACAATAAACACATGCACGCACGTTTAAACACAGAGAAATGGCAAAGAATAAAAGCCCTCCAACTCAACTCCTTCCCAAATACAACTTGCAACTTTGTGGCTGTGAGCCTGTGTATTAATACTCAGAGCACAATTACCAAAAACCATGAATTATATGGGGTGCACTGAGGCGAGGGTGCAGACGTTCATCAGCATAATAAATTATACAGTAAGAGGAGTCTGCTTTCCTGCAGGGGGCTACAGTAACTTCACAGAAATATATATATGAGCAACTGCGTTCAGATGTGAATTTATATCTAAGAGAGCTTCTCTTTCTTTTAAGTATGGATATAACAAAGCAATTAAGATCTTATTTAAAAATCCACATATCTCGAATATAAAATGCTTTCTCTTCATGTTCATGTTATTAAATTCCCCCTTTAAATTACATTTTAAAAATCAGACATGTGCATGATGTTTTCCTCTTTTAATATTGATTATACTCCCTTGTGATAGAAGTTGTCGATACTCTTAAGGCATCTCATTTTGTATCATTTATATTGGAATTAAATGGAAACTGCTGAAGTGTTTACAAAAAAGCCCACAAATAAATATGAATTATGCTCAAACCCACATGCTTTCCCTTCCCTTAATGCACATCCAACAGCAAGATGAGAATTCAAACCGTGCGCCTCACGTCAAGCTTTCCAGGCTTTCAAACCTGCCCCCCTAAATCGGTCCTTCCAGCACACGACAATTTAATGTGCCTTTAGAATGTGGAGAAGCTCATTGAAGCCATTACGAAAATGAGGAGAAACACAGATTTTATGAGTGTAATAAAAATACAATGATCTAGATCATAAACTAATCATCTGGTACTCTGCTTGTGCCACCCAAGTGTGACATTAGGAAGCCCCCTCACTTAAAGAGGGGTCCTTCCAGGCGGGCAGCCGCGTTCATTGGTCCACACATGTGGCACCTCCATTCAGGGAGCCCGCCTGGCTCTCTGAAGATTTGGTTACGATTAAATCCAAATGAAACTTAATTTAAACAAACAATCCCAAAGGCACTCCTGGGGATAATATTTCTTTTTAGGTCACTGTGTGTAAAAGCAGAGAGGGGAATTTACTCAATCAAATAATAGGCGGCCCACTTCGGCACCCATGTCACAATGTCGTTTGTGGCTCTGCCTGCATCAGCTCAAGGTGCCTTGACTCAGCGCACGGCCATACCAGTGTTCCACCATCCGCCAGGGACCGTGGCCAGCTCAACGTCAGAATACACTGAACAGTGAGTGTGGATCTTGGTGGGAATATAGGATATAGGATACTTGTGAAAATTTCAGTTAGCTAAGGTTCCATTTCTAAACAGGGAGAGGTTTCACTGTTGTCGTCTTCCTTGGCTTGGTTGGTACCCAACACTAGGAAGGTGCTATTTGTGTGACAAATCTTAGAGAAATCTAAACATTTCTCTTCAAGGAAGTAAATAATGACCCAGAATCCCTACCTAATCTTGGTGTAGTCTATTGAAAACAGTAGTTTACTAAATTAAAGAGCTGAATGTTTGAATACCAGAAGTGGCAATTTCTAGCACTTTCTGTTTAGTTCAGTGTCAGAGAACACATCCTTCAGGGTCATCTACTGGTTTCTGGGGCACGTTTACTGAGCACCTGGTACACATCAGGAGATTCAGAGGTAACTCAAAGTCCCTGTCACAAGCAGGCATGGTGAAATGTCCCGGAGTGCACCATGGCCGTCTGCAGACCTGCCCACGCTGCCTTCATCTGGCGTAAAGTGGATTACTTTGCCCAAACAGGAAGCAAGTGCTTCCATCCCTGGATGAGAAAAAGCTGCCAAGGTGGATTAAAATGAGCCGTAAGCGCTGGATCCCGAGTATAAATTACTGGTGCTGTGCTTCAGAGAAGAATTGGAAATCCTCCCTTTTCGGTGAGCTTCTTCTCAAATGCACAGCACCACTCTTTGGAGGTCTCCCTTGAAGGCCCAGGATGCCTAAAAATTGTCACTCCGTGTGCCTGGGGGGCGGGAGCCATGGCGACTTCACTGGTGGTCATGTGCCGCCAGGAACAAAAGGGCCAGCTCCGTAGTTCTAAGTGACCACGGAGCACTTTGGCCAAAACCCCCTTGAGCCCATCTCAGCTGAGTCACTCAGCGATGACGCAGAAGGGAAAGTCACGGTGACAACACTGACAATACTTGGAATGAAACCTGTTCATGGTTATCAGCAGCACGTGGAAAAGCTGAGACTAAGTAGTTCAGACAGGTGGCCCTAGAGACGCGAAATACAGACTTTGGCTGCTATTGGATACAACTAAGTTTGTACACTGTTGATAAGAAAAATCCATATTGTTTCTGTGATAGGTTAAATTGTGTCCCCCAGAAAAAATATGTTGAAGTCCTAATCCCCGGTACCTGTGAATGCAACTTTATTTGGAAATACGGTCTCTGCAGATGTCATCAAGTTAAAAAGGTGAGGTTATCCTGGATGGTGGGGGTGTGTCTGTCCCAATCCATTAAGAATGGTGTCCTTATAAGAACTGGGAAACACCATGTGAAGACTGAGACACACGGGGGATAGCCATGTGACAACGGAGGCAGGGACTGGGGTGATGCTGCTGCAGACCAGGAACGCCTGGGGCCACTCAAAGCTGGAAGAAGGATCCTCCTCTTGACAGTCTGGAGGGAGCAGGGCCCTGTGAACACCTCGATTTTGGACTTCTGGCCTCCAGAGCAGTGAGACACTACATTTCTGTTGTTTTAAGCTCCCCAGTTTGTGGTAATTTGTTACAGCAGCCCCAGGAAACTAACACATTCATTGACACATGGTCCTCTATTCCGTCCCTCAGATCATTCACAGGCGTTGAAAATGTCAACTCTAAGTTTCATGTATTAAGCTAATTAAAGCAGATGGAAAGAGCTGTAGGGTCTCTTCATCCCAAGTCTTTTTTGGGCACATACTAAATATTTAGCAAACAAAACTCTTTCAAGGCCCCACTAAAGCCTGATTAAAGGAAAGATGGTTACCCTGAAATAGTTAAGACGCCCAGGCCGTCTTCTTTAAAAGCACCCTGGTCCCTGCAGGCAGAAAACGTCTCCTCCCTCCACCTAGACCTCTCGTGATGTGTTCCCTTCTACCTGCAGTATTCTCACCTATGTTCTCACGTCTGTCTTCTACCAGGCTGTCACCTCCTGAAGACCAGACCCTCGTCTGGCGGCCATTTCTACCCGCCAACGCATCTAGCATAGTGATTGATTATAGTTGGCGCTTAGTTGAAAACAATGCATAATTTTAAAAGAGATCATTTGAATATTTCTGTAAAAACAGATAAAGAAAATGCTATCAAAGGTTTGCCTGGCAGAAGCCTTCCCAGGACCTGCCTCACGTACAGAGAAGCGGTTTTTTTTAAAGCACATTAACTGTTTTCATGCAGCTGCAGCTGCTGGACATGAAGACAGCTTCTCTCCCCCGGCTACATGTCCCCCTGCAGTCCTGACGGCACAGTTCGTTTCCTTGTAAACGTCCTCTAACAGGTTGAGCAGAGATAACTTAACCCCAGCAATGAAGACGCTGACTCATATTTAAAAAGGACAAGGAGTCAGTTAATGAGGCTTAAGAGCACTTGCATTTTACTCCTTGTGAGCTCACCGATGTCAGTCAGCTGTAACTGTTTGGTCTGAAATAGATTAAAGAAGAAGAAAACACGTGTCTGTAACCCCTTTGGCAGCAGAGACCCCCAAACCCTGCTCTCACCCTGCCCAGAGGACAGTCCTCAGAAGCCTCGCCTCGAGCCTCCTCAGGGCCTGGTTCTGCTTCAGCCACAGAGTCACAGATTCCGCGTCAGACCATCACTTTGGAGACGGTAATCCAACCAAATGAAGGGTAGTGGAATCCTATCATGTCTTCCATGGATGACTCGTAACGTACCTACCTGATGTTTTTCAGTAAACGAATACGTCAGTGTGGGCTTCCTTCAGAGATCAAACAATGACTCGTGGCAGCCAACGTAATCGGTAGCAATGCTGAAATTAAATGTCGTGCCCGGCAGGGGCCGAGCAGGAGGACACGCACCTTGCAGCCATTCGGATCAGACCCGAGCCCAAACCAGTCACACAGCTACGATCTGATATTTGCTAAACAGCAGCAATAGCTTTTGGAATTTTTTTCTACCAGCAATATTTTTGTCCAGGCAAGAAGGAGAATGCATCTAAATAAGAAACATTTGCCACTTCACTAGAGTCGAGTAAGAGTTCTTTTGAAAAGAACGGCCTGCTTATTTGGCGAGCAGATTCAATATGGCTTGGTGTCATTTAGAGATTTCCAAACCTAGGCCACATACTTACAAACCTGCCTTCTTTTCTCTCCAACCTTGTGCTGTCACCATGGAGGTGTTTATGTCAGTGTCTGACTGTATAGGAAGCTTCCTGGGCACGAGGGAGTGCCGTCACTTAGCATCACATAGAGTCCCAGGGCCTGTGCTCCTCTTTCAGATAGAATATGCATATTGTCCCTTTACACAGAAGTGCCAATGTTAGGCTGCCATTCTTCTTTTCAAAATCAGGACCTCATATAAAAGCATCAGATCCACTTATGAATCAGGAGGAGGGGGAGAGGGAGAAGGAGGAAGACAGACAGACAAATAGACAGACTAGGGAAGCAACACTACACATAAAAGCAGAACAGCCTGGATGTTTTCACCTGTGATCCACAAAAATCTGTTAACTAAGAAACTCAGGATATGTACTTTCCACCCAAGCCTAAGTGGACACTGTGGCCTGCATACAGAAAGGACTCCGGAACTTTCTGCTGCAACGCTTGCCCGGCATAATCATGCACATCCCTGCAGATAGCACGGTTTTCAAACCTAAATTTAGATGAGATGATCTGACAAAAGCTTTATTTCATCTTTAAATATTTGTGAATTTATGTACAGAAAATTCACCAAGACTAAATATTTGAAGTAAAGTGTCCTGGAAAATCCAGGGCATGTGGTTAAAGTACTTATGAACTCAGATATAAAAAAGCAAGGTTTTCCTAAGAAACGAACTGTCCTCAATTCTTGTATTTCCCTTTAATTTAATCAAATAATGTGCTTTAAAATCAACCAATCTGTAAGTTAACAGGGCTCCTAAGTAAATTTCCCCCTTGCCCAACTTCTCAACACTCCAGAATCAGTAAAATCTCCAAATACTTCTCTCTCCCATTGTTGACTACCCAGAGGATGCCTAGGGATAAATAACCAAGGGCGATCCATCAGGAGTATCACAGAGGTGAAGGGACTGGGGGACCTCCTAGCACTCTCGGAGTCATACCCCTTAGGGTAACCAGAAATCACGAGCCCTGATTTGACATGGTCTCAGGAGGAAGACGGACCATTTGACCCTGGGTGGTCCTAGAGATTGGGAAGCCTCGGGACGGCACTGGGGCACCTGCTTGTGGAGTGGGGTCTGAGTGGGGATGAACAGGCTCTGGCAGAGCAGATGCAGCTCTGCAGGATTTTAATGAGGTGTGGGCCCATGAGTTTCACTAAGGCCAGGTTCAGTCACCTCTGGATGCTCCAGGCCTGGCTCTTGGGGGCTAATGGTGATGCCTACAAAGCAGTCATCTGTCAGCTGACCAGGGCAGCCTGCTGGGAGACGTGAGCTCGGGAGCACAATATGGAAACGGGCTGTGTCTTCCAACTTGATCTCTGCTGGATCCAGAGCTGCCGGTGCACACAGACGCCACAACAGGCACGGTCACCCCACAGCTTAGGCCTTCAGCACTGGCTCTGGGTGCCCGACCCCGCTTGCTCACACTTCTGTTGAACGCAGTTCTCTTTCTTCTGTGTTTCTGCCTCGCTCGCCAAGGCCCAGCAAGTACTTGGAAGGAAAAATCTTTACATTCTTTGGGTCTCCCATAGCCCTTAGCTCAGGTTTTTTCTTGACCATCCTAAGAACTATCATTGATGGGTGCTAAAGAATAAAAACTGTATTTATCGAGCCTATCACTTTTGGAGAGGAGGAAGTGCATTTCCCCCAGTTAAGACTTCACAGCAGAATACTTTCAGAAAGTGGAAAATAGAAATTGATGGGTGGACTTTTTTTTGGTAAAATGTTAATAACAGCAATAAGCATTAACACTAATCGGGAACGAGCTGACTTCCTGCTGACTTGAGCCGGTGCTCTGCCGCTCTGCCTCGGGGCCTGCACCCCAGCTCGCCAGCCAGGAGAGGTGCCTGGCCTCTGATTCTGTCTGAAATTAGCCTATTCGTCCAGCAGGGTGGACAAGGCAAGAAATTCAAGAGTTTCCTCTTGGCTTCGCTACCCCATGGTGGACAGGGAATGGCGACCAGTCCAAGTCCTGGGGAGACCACCCCAATTCCTAGGGCTTCGGCCCAGAGCGAGGGACCTCACGTACCCTGACTTTGTATTTCACATCCACGAACACTCCTCACACACCTAAATTTGGCAGAATTTCTGCTTAAGAGACAACTGTTATGCCTCCAAGGCACACCCAGCCTGTGGTGGTGACACACAGAAGCTACCACATCAGAAAGCACATAATTCTGCCAGCTCATTCTAAAAATATGAGAGGAGGGAGGGCAAGGAGCTGACTCCCTTCACAGATGAGGGTTCCTTAGAACAGGGTGTGGAGGGAGACAGCAGAGCCGCGTGTGGGTCAGCAGGAGGAGTTCCACAGTTGATTGGTGATGTCTGCTTTGGGAAAAGAACTGGGAACACTGACAGGAATGCCAAGGATTTGCCAAATTCCTCCAGGACTGGTCCCTTACTCCTGCCACCCAAAGCAAGTCCTCCACTCCCTGGCTTATGCCCTGCAGAGACTTCTTTTCTCCACAAAAGCTGTCCTGATGCCCCTTTTGAGACGGCTGGCACCGTGTGTAAGCTCCCGCAGGCCCTGTGACTCCTGGCAGGTGCACAGACCTCACTTCCCTGTAGGGAAATGCCTGTTCTCAAAGAAAGCTTAATCCTTTGCACCCGTGAACACATATGCACAGGCTCCTTCCATGTCTCACATGAGAAATTCTGCAGTGTGGTGAAGCCAGAGGGGCTGGCGCTGCTGAGTCAGATGCTACAGACAGAATGTTCTAGATATCCCACGTTCAAGAGAAGACGGAGGAGCCTTCCTCCGTCCCTCTTCCAGATCGCCTCATTTCTGGGCATGCTGGGCCCGTCTTGTGTTTCCCTTGCTGAAGCCCGTGGAGCTCCCTGCTTGTCCTGCCCCTCCTTCTCAGCCCTGGCCCCCGTGGCCTCTCTCCAGACTCCTGAAACAGCCACTTGTCCGGTCACAGTGGCGCCATATTAGATGCTCAACCAATGCCTGTTTTATTCTTAGCCATTGCAATGGGTGGAACAGTGTCCCCAAAATTCACGTCCCCTTGGAACCTGTGAACGTGACCTTATTTGGAAGCAGGGTCTCTGCAGATGTCATCAAATTAAGACGAGGTCACACTGGTTGGATGGACTCTAAGCTGAATGACTGGCGACCTTCCAATAGGAGGGACATTTGGACACAGAAACAGATACACAGTGGGGAGCATCTCAGAGTCAGGAAAGCGTTGATGTCTAACTCTTAACACAGGACCTGGTCCACAGTAAGTGGCGGATGGATGTGAGCAATTTTTATGCTAAGTGTCCACATGCCCTGAACAAGTTGTGATTCTGTTGGCAAGCGAAGCCTTGCATACGTGAAGTAATGACTGGGACCTAAAGGTTGGTAAAAATAAAACAACCCGCACTGGGGGCCCTCAATGCCATACGTACACTTGCACATTTTGGATAATGGGTTAAAGTAGAGTGGAAACTCTGTTGGTATCCCTCATTCCACAACACAACTGTGCCCTGTGCCTAGAGGCGCTCCATTCGGGCTGGACCATCTCTTGGTAGGCACAGCACCGGGGAAACTCAGCATCTCACGGGTGGTGGGACTAGCCTGTCCTTGGAACCACCCTAACACCCAAGTTTAATGGTTCCACGCCACGATGACAAGCTTGAACAATGTAACGCAGGGGTTAGTTGGTTTTATTTTTTTCAGTAGCATGAAGGAAAGAGCCAGGGGCCATGCAGACATGTTCAAATCTCGGTTTCCTGCTTGTTGGCTGGGGTAAGTTATGTGAGCTCCAGATACCCCCTGCCTTGCCCACAGAACGGGGATGAGGACACCTGTGTATTAACACGCTTGTAAGGCAAAGAGCATGAGTGGGCCCTCAGCTAGTCCTGGATCCTTCCTGACTTTCCCAGAACCCCCCGCAGAGACTATTCTCAAGACAGAGAGAGGAACACTTTCCCTCCTTTAAGTGGATGAACACCTGTAAACAAGTTTGAATCAGTTTAATCAAATCCAAGGTATTATTCACAATCAATTTATTAAGATCTTATTTTCAGAAAAAAAATTTTAATGAAAAAAGATTCACCTGCCAGAAGTCAGCCACGGTGGCAGGCAGTGGTCCCTGGGTGGCGATATATGCAGGATTCCTGGGGTCATGATCCATCTGCAGAAACAAGATTACAGGAACAAGGTTTAGCTACAAAGCCGGTCAAAAAACGAGGAAGTAAAACAGCGGTTCAGGAGGAGGGAAGGCGGCACGCCTGCGCAGAAGGCCCCAGGAACATGCGTCTGCAGCAGTGAGAAGACCTGGGTTGCTCTTCCTCGTTGCCCTTCCTGCGTCAAAAGAGAGCCTGGGTTACAGGTGGAGGTACTGTGCCTGGAGCCTGGGCGTCACGTCTGAATGCTTTCCGTACACCTGATATTGAGGTAATAGGAGCGGCATCAGCAGAAATGAAGACCAGTAGACCAGAAGCCAATACGTAAATTAACCCACTTAACAGGCCGGGCCAGGCAGGGTGGTGGAATGAAGGGAAGGAGCAGAGGGCAGCACCACCAACATGGGCAACATCTCCATGGATGCAAGTGACTGCGAGCAGTTCAGCCATGTGTCAGTGTGAGTGGCCTCCACGCCCGGCCACAGGCCATATAGGCCATATGCAGGTTCAAGATAATGAGCCCGGTTGCTAGGACTGCAGGCACCGGGCTGGGGGGAGGTGCAGCCTGAGTTCTCAGCACAGGGTAAGGGCACTGCTCTCCAGGCCCGTGAGCAGCTCTTCAGGGTCCTGGAAGAATCAGTTACAACTGCATCCTGCCTCCCAGAAAGAGTTAAGTCCTTTCACGTGGGGCTGTTCTCTGTTTCCTCGAAAGGGGCTCAGGCACAGCTAGTCATGCCGCCGGGTGTCTACGGCATAGGGTGGCGAGTGCCTCCCGGGAGATGGGGCCCAGCCTTCCAGCGGCTAATTCCCTATTCTGTTTCTACGGTGCCAGACAACAGATGAAAACAAACAAACAAAGAGGAATGCGTGGTGGGCTCTCTGGCCAGTTGATTTGTCCGAGTGCAGCCTGCTAGCCTCAATAGGGGACGTTTGGCTTAAAAGACCTTAATTATAACGTTTAATTCAAAGACTGACTAAGCAGGGAAAAAAAAGAAAGAACACGAGAACAAAGCCTGGAGAAGCAAACAGGATTAAAGCACATTCTGAGGGTTGTCAAATGAATGGGGCTCTCGCCCCTCAATGCCAGAACCGGCCATCCTCAGAGAACAGGGAGATAGCAGGTGAGTGTCAGCAAAGACTTCCTCATCACTCACATTCCCTACCACACACCCCAGAAGGGACCATGGAGACACCCAGAAGACAGGGTGGAATCTCACCTTTGTGTGAGAGAGCCGCTCCCTAACCGGACGTACGGGGGCCTTTATTCTTTCACGTCTGCACTAGGATCTCCTCGTTTGATACCAGGGTTTGATTAAAGATTTAGAATACTCTGTGTTTAAAGATAATTGTTAAGAATACATTTCCCAATACAGTGAAAAACGAGCAAGTTTCAACCGCACATAATTCTGAGGCGACACACGAGGATGTCAGCTGTAACCCCGGCACCACCTTAAGACACTGCCCTGACTTTGGGTTTGAAGCAGAGCCTTGCGAGGCCCCTTTCCTCCGACAGTAATCTAGTGAATCCACGCACCACCCATCAAGACTTGCAGAGATGACAGTTGTCAGCATAAAAGAACGCACCGAGTGCACCTTATAATTATGTACCCCACGAAAGAGGGAAGATCATAAAAGAACAGATGCAAGTTATTCTAACAGAACAACAATGTGAGCTGGCTGGGGGTGGGAGAGCAGGAGAAATGCTTTTTGTGCATCTGATTTAGCGATTCGTAATTAAAACCGGACCTCGTTTTGAAACTCGCCACAACACACACAATACAGGTAAAATTATGTTACTCTCGCTGAAAGCCCCAATTAAAATGTTTCAGTGGAAAAACACTTAGCAGAAATAAGGAGTTTTGATTTTTCAAAATATACATCTGTTGGGGGTGACAGCTATTTACGGAGACCCCTGTCTCTTCCTTGCAAATAGCTCTGCACAGGAGGAAAACCCCACCTCCTTCTCAAAGGTGCTTTTTTGCCCAAAGCAGTTTAGAGAGCAACACATCTGTAAATTGTTAGTATGTTCAAACTGGCACACTTCGCTGCTTTACAAATGAGAAATGTGTGACTGAAAGTAAAAATCTGAACAGGGTTCAGGAGGGTCAATGAGGCAACCTGTCGCGGTGTTCCAGTTACTTCCACTGTCACTTGCTCAAGCCCCCAGGACAGGGGAGGACTTGGGCGATGAGCAGTGCGCACACTCGGCCCGTCCTCTCCACTCCCCCTCCTCGCCGTCACGCGGCTGCCACTCAGAAGGCAGTAAACAGCACGCTGATCACAGAGCGGTGACTCGTGTCATCAGTTTAACAATGACTCAGAAGACAATCGCAATTACTTCATTCCATGCACATCCTACTGGACAGGAAATGATTCTGGGCAGAAGCACTTGGTGCATGAAGCAAACGTAAGGCCACAGAAAGCCTTCTCGTGGTTTCGTGAGGTCTTGAACTGAATAAAAGTAAAGCAAATATTTAACTAAATGAACAGAAGTTTTATCACATTTAAGATTTCCAGCCAGGAAAAGTGTAACTAGAGGAAATCAGGTAAGTTTCTGCTCACACTACTTTTCTATCCGGGGCTTTGGCGACAACTCCAAAGATACACCTGGCAGGTGTGTCTTCGTCGACCGCTCCCAATGGGAATAAACAGCGTCTGCAACTTCCCCTGATCTCTGTGCTTAATCTTCCCCCATTCTTTCCTGTCATCTTCCATTTCTTTGTAGTACAGTTTTTATTCGTGCGAATGTTGTGTTCACAAACACAAGCTCCACAACTCAGAAAAAGTCAGTTACTGTCTGGGCCTCAGTCCAGCGTCTGTGAAAGGGGGTGGGAGGCAGAGGGAGGCTGGACAACCTGATCTGCCTGCCCTGAGCTCTGGGGTTTCACCCGCGTGCACACGCAGACTCCCCTGGGCGTGGGTGTGTGTTGGCGTCTGGCGGTAACCCTGAGGCCATGAGTGGAAGCCTGTACATTTGTTAATTCAACCGCCATGCTGTCAGGTGGGGAGGCCTGCCAGGACAGGTCGTGTCCTCCTCTGTGACTTTGTAAGACGGAGGGGCTCTGCTTCGATGAGCGCCAAATTTATGCCCTTGCCAGCAGCACAGAGCGGGCAGGCATCTGACCAGGCCAAGCGGTGCCACGATTAAGCATTTTCACCCCGAGTGGAATGACACAGCCCTGCCCAGACAATCAGACGTGACTGACTCACTCCGAGTGACTGCACGTCTGTGAGGAACATGGGGCGTCAGGTCCCAACTACGATTAACGGTGTTATTTTGCTTTTACTATGGTTGTTTCTGTTTTTCGGAAAAAGGAAAACCACCTGTTTGCACTGAATCTACTGTCCCTGTGGCAGAGTGATTCTTATGAAGACGCCAAATGAACTAGGTGTACTCCCATGCATTTCTAAATGCACAGTTAAAAAAAAACAGCAATTTGCCTTAAGCTGGAGAATAACAATTATTAAATAAGCATGAGTGACTGGTTTTATCTTTAGAAACTCTAATCTGTATTAAAAAACTTAGCAATAACTTCCTCAATATTCCAAACAAAACTGATTTTAAAAATTAAGCATTCAGCATCGCAAGACCAGGAACCCATGTTCTGAAGGTTTGAAGGGAACCTGGGGGGCTGCCTGCCGGTGTGGAGGTGAGGGGAGAGCCGGGTCTGCTCCAGGCCAACCACAGCCTCCGAGCCTGGACCTGAAGTCGTCAGGGTCGACCGGGGCAGGCCTGGGGGAGGGCGCGGGGCCACCCTCCTACACTGAAGTCTCAGAGTGAACGTGCGTGTTACCTTTCTGTATTCCCGGCTGCCCATCCTTGCATCTGTTTTTCCTGACATTTACAGCAAATTTCACAGAACGCTTTCTTGAAAACAAGCAAAAATCAAGCCTGAGTTTTCAAGTCACTCTTCCAGATGCCAAGTCTTCATGTGGGGATTTATTGGGAAATTGCAGCTTTAGTAATCAATGGGAGAGAGACTGACTTACGAACGGAAATTACTTTCCTATTTTATTCTTATGAGTTGAGATTTATTTAAGTAAAATATGGAATATAAACCATAATTATACACACATAGAGGTTTGCTTGTAAATATTCTCTGTGAACCAAAGAGTTGGCTCCCATATTTGGCCAATTTCTTATGATATTAGGGTATCCGACCAGTCATCCTTTTCTGAGGAGTCAATTTGTACTTACTTAAATTAGTTCAATGCATTCAGAACTAAAACTTTCAACAATTTTTTCTCCCGTAATAAACAGCAGAATGAAGAGTAAGTTTATTTTCCAATATCGTTGGGAACTTCAGACTTGTTCCTGGTAATGAAACTTGCGCTGTTCTGAGCAAACAGTTGTGTTGACGATATTCCCTAGCCCACGTCCTCACAACAACCCAGCCGAGGTTCTAAATGTGGCTGATGGGTTTCTCTCTCAGACGCCCTACGCCGGAAAACAGGATTCCCTGTCACGTTCATGACCTCTGACTTAAAAGCAAAGACTGCACGTTATTTACTACTGGATGACTTCCTCGGAATTTAATGAGGACTGTCAAATATGACAGATGTAATTATCATAGTTTTGTTCTGCACAGCCAGGGTCTTCTTGGGCTATAATTGTAAGCTTTACATTCAACGGCTGCTAGGAGGCTCATTACAATGGTACCTTCAGGAATTCAGAGAGAAGAGGTACCATGGATTTCTTCTAGTTCATTCCTACAACCCAAATATGAAAAAAAAAAATTGTTGTATGAAAGGAAAACACTAAAGATACCGTAAATTTCCTTCTTTCTCCTGGTATCGCCTTCTGACCCAAGTCTCTGCTCAGTGAGGCCTGGGTAGCTTGTTCTGAAGTGAATTTCCACTAATAGAAGAGAGACTGAGAATTGCACGGAAGTACAGGAATTCATGTAACTCCCCCTACACACACACACACGCACACCCTCCAGGCCCGTGGATGTGAGTGTAAAAGCTGTCGGACGGTTTCTACGGATGATGCAGTTCCCGCACCAAGCACCCTTGTCTGCACTGAGACCCAACCTTAGCCTGAAATAGCTCAGACACCTGCAAGTTGGAACACACAAAATGAGGGAGAGTTGGGCAGGCCACAACACTGAACTCTCATCTTTTAGACTTGAAAATAACTGCTTTATTTTTCACTCTAGCGCTGTCGCATGGCTCCTTCTAGGGACAAGGAACCCAACAGGAAGAACACGTGTTCTTGTTCTCCAGGCAGTTCTGAGTTGCCATCAACATGGCCCGTGGTGTAGGGACCAAGTCCAGGCACTGACAGATCCCAACCTCACCAGAAACGATGTTCCATCCATAAGAAAAGAGAGATTGGTAATTCACTGAGGCTTGGGTTTGATTTTCTGGATTAGAATTGACAGAAAAATACTAAACACACCACAGTGCGTTGATTGAGAAAGACTGACTGAATGGCTCCAAACGAGAACCTCAAAACACAGATGGCATCAGTCTTTGAGGTCGACCTCTGCTCGAAAGAAAGAAGTTACTCCTTAAAAATAACCACACAGGGCTAGCCCCGTGGCTTAGCGGTTAAGTGCACGCGCTCCGCTACTGGTGGCCCGGGTTCGGATCCCGGGCGCGCACCGACGCACCGCTTCTCCAGCCATGCTGAGGCCGCGTCCCACATACAGCAACTAGAAGGATGTGCAACTATGACGTACAACTATCTACTGGGGCTTTGGGGGGACAAAATAAATAAATAAAATCTTTAAAAAAAAAAAATAACCACACATACAGAGGTCTGGGTTCAGGTGGGTGTAGACGCAGTGCAACAGACCAACTCTTCACTTTGAATCCACGTTCTCACAGCAGAGTATGGTACATTGTGCTCTCTCTGTGTGCTGTGACGTGTCAGGAGATGGGATCTGACCCATGGCACATTGGAGTCTTATTAAATAATAAGCTTTATACAACAGGTACACTGAAATAAATGGGACCAACAACTATGAACATGGTCTATCACCATAGCTACTGCTTGAAATTAGACGGTAAATGTTCTCCTCCAAAGCTAACTACTGAAGCAATAGAAGGGGTGGCTAGTGTGCTGTCGGGTACGTTTCATGAATCCAGAGAAGACCTGCTGTCTCACTCAGTCGTCTACACCACCAGTAATCTCACCGTGTTAGGATCATAGACAGTGCTGCATCCTACACGCACTATATATACATATATTTTTTTTGTGTGAGGAAGATCAGCCCTGAGCTAACATCCATGCCAATCCTCCTCTTTTTGCTGAGGAAGACCGGCTCTGAGCTAATATCTATTGCCAATCTTCCTCCTTTTTATCCCTTTTTCTCCTCAAAGCCCCAGTAGATAGTTGTATGTCATAGTTGCACATCCTTCTAGTTGCTGTACGTGGGATGCCGCCTCAGCATGGCCGGACAAGCGGTGCGTCGGTGCTCGCCCGGGATCCGAACCCAGGCTGCCGGTAGCTGAGCGCGCGCACTTAACCGCTAAGCCACGGGGCTGGCCCTGAACTATATTTGACTGAATGCAAATTTGAGATTTTAGCGAGATGCCGTGACGCTTCCCTGAAGATCAACGTCGAGAAACACAGCTTAACGGGGGGAAACCATCACCAGCCTCTGTCGTAAATCCACACTAACTCTCAATCTCTCTCTCCCACTGGTTTAAAACACCATCCACCACACTCTCCACAAATACCCTGTCTTTGGACAGTTTCGTTTCCCTTTCTTCCCACCTACAATCATCCTAACTTGATTCTGAAAAGCCAGACTGAACTATCACGTCATCTGACCTTTGAGTCTCCTCTTCTTCGCCCTTAGGCTCCAGACTCCCCCTCTCAGCCCCTTCCCCCCAGGGTTCAGGACCGGAAGAATGTTCAGGCTTCACACAATGAAAGAGGAGCAGCAGGATGAGATCCACGGCCCGAGTGGGCTCTGAGGAACTCTCCGGAAAGCTGTGAACACCTGCTGGTCACAGGGTCTTACACCAAGGGGTGAATGAGCTGCTTTCTCTAGAAATAGAGAACATTTCCTCCAGTCCTCTGAAGAGCCCGCTCCCGGGGGAGGCACAGCCCCCAATCCTCTCTTGTCCTTGAAAGGAAGATCCCACCCACTGGAAAAACGAAGGAAACTAACCTACAACTTCGAATCTGCCTCAGTGCCACCTATCATTTTGACAAGTGGCAGATTTGAGTCTGTTTCTCCTGAATAAACAGGGAACAAGTGGGTTTAGAGAAGGAGAGTGCAACCAACTACAATTTTTTCCTAAAAGTCCTGAGTTCCAGTCAGTAAGCCATCAGGTCGATACTGCCGGGCCCCCTAGAGTCAGGGACCCACGACAGGCTCCCATCCGGTGAAGACATCCCGGGGAGCCGTCCGAAGACCCAGCCCAGGCTAGCTGGTTAAGGCTAGTTACCTGGTTGAGACTAGTTACTAGCTTGTGAGCCCGAGCAGGGCAGGGGCTCGCTTTCCACGGAAAACCCTCCCCGAGACTTAGCCGCAGACCGGCTCCCCGAGCAAAAGCAGGGTACTCACAATGGGGCTGGCGTTGATGTAGTCGGAGTTGCTGTGGCTGTTCTCCGACTTCAGCAGGATCCTGGAGTGATCGTCTGCAAGCAACCCAAGAGCAGAGAGTTAGACATGCAGGGGGCCGCAGCGCCCAGGCCCTTTCGGAGACGGTGCGAGAGATGCCCCGGGCTGCCCACCACTGCTCCGCTGTTCTCCTCGAGGGCTCTGCCAGATCCCTCTGAGGCTGCTTTTTAACGTGATCTCTCCCATCCCCGCTCTGCTCATGGTCTTTCGGCGTAAGAGGGGGAGACTCAGGGTGTGTGGGACCTGACACCGTCTCACTTGGTAGAACTTTGACGTTCTCGTGTTTTCCTCACGTAAAGTTCAAATTCCAGGTGTGATACCCTCTGCACTGTTGTATGTAGTGTTTGCCTTTAACATAAGACATATGTGGCAACATATACATTATTTAGTAAATAAATAAAATGTGAATATTAAGCTATAGGCCACCATTCAATATATAAAGTTTTGTAGTCGAGAAACGGTTAAATCCCCGAGATTACAGGAATTTGTGTCAAAAAGGAAACTAAGAGAAAAAGAAAATGCAGACAGGAGGGAGTAGAGGAGGAATGTACAAGTGGGGACTCAGTGACCTAAAAATGTGCCTTAAACAGGGAAGCCGTTTGAGAAATGCTGAAACCAGACACAGCAATGGGGTTTAAGAGCATGTGATCTGTAAAAGCTTAATGTGTTTGATACACGAATTAGTCTGGATTTTGGCTCTGGAAGAACCACCCTCCTGTGTATAGTGACGTCCTTTTTTCCCTTGTTTCAAACTTTCAAAGTGGAACCCTCGGGGGGAAGTCGAGGAGGGACTATGGGGCGAGGGGCAGTGCCCGCTCCCCCTGGTAACACGCAGGGTGGAGGGTGGCGGCACGCCCTCGAGGGTCCCTCCTTGTCCTTCTAGCCTCCCTGGGTGTGCAGAAGCCTCTCTCTCCTTCCTCTGCAAGGTGCACTCGGAGACTGACAGTCGTGGAGCCTGAGAGCGCTCAGCTCTGTAACCTTCGCCCCAGTGAACGCCTTTGGGTGGTTCACACGGCACCTATTGATGGCCTGGCCTGCAGCCTCGGGAGCAGAGTTTTCGGCACTTGTGAGCCTTTCACCCTGGCCCCGCTGCCCTGAGTGTTGACTGCGTCCCCCCACTTCCCCAGACGTCCGGCCACCAGGAGGAAATGGTTCCCAACCCTGAAAGCAGCTCAGGCAGGAAAGCAGGGAGACTTCGCCTCCGTCTGTGTTTCTTTTATTTCTCCAGGAGATTTTACTTAACTTTTTTTTTTAACAACAATTCTAGGGCTTGGGAAACTTGGTGAGTCCCATAACTGACTGAACTTGGGAAGCACTGTCTCCCGGGCTGGACGCCATCCTATCCGTCTCATGACGATATTAATGTTAGCATTTTCCTGGCAGAGACGAGACAGATGAGAAATATCTAGAGACAGGGAGAGAGTTCATACACTGCATGGTATGTTTACATATCATACGTTACATGCGCCCGAATGTCGTGCGGGTGTCCTGAAGGTGTTTCTGACGGTAGCTGCCGAACCATCCGGCTAAGGTACGAATAATGATACAAAAATCCCGTGGACTCCATGGTGTTGGGCTCCTGCACAAATTTATTCTTGGAAGAGTGAAAATCGGCAGTGGCAGGAAAGTGAAGCAAAATTTACCAAAATACCAGTCAACACTGACATCTCAACAGGCTATAAACACTACCCGAAAATGAAGTTCAGGAGGCCCAATTTCACAGTGGGGACGACCACGAGCCGCTCAGAAGCAGGCGCCCTTTTCTGAAGGGTGCACTGGGCCTACTGATGCAGCAAACACAGGATTCTGGAATAAAACAGCAGGCCTTCTCGCTGCTTCCGCAGGATTCCACAGGGTCTCCCAGGGGCCCTGACTCATTGTAAATACTTACAACACAGCCAACTTCTGGCACTGGTGGTAGCAGCAGTTGGGACCACTCCTAATTGTCTGAGAACCCGTACAGAGAGCAGGGTCTCTGGTCAAAGGGAGGGAGGGGCACAGGGAGGAGGAACCAGGGTACAGTCTCCCAGCTTAGGAGGTCACGCTGGGAAGGCGCCCAGCAGAGCAAGCGGCCTCCTGTGGAGCTGACAGGCACAGGCTTGGGGGGCTGCCAGGTCCCCTCATCTCCAAGGGGATGCCACTGCCCCGCCCTGAGAGCACCGAGGCTCAGGGAAGAAATGCCAGCTGGATTTTTCTAGTTGGAAAAGTAAGAAAATGCTTCGTAAGTTTGGGAGTCTTGGTGAAATAACAGTGCAGTTGAAGAGCTTGGGGCTCTGCTGGTTAATGGGACAAACTATTTTGGGCACCCGAGCCTCAGCTGGCTGTAAGGACAGCTCACAGGCTCTCAAGCATCTTGAGAAGTACTGTTTCAGCTGCCTACCTTTCCCTGGAGGCCGCCCTTTTAAAGATAGCACTGAGGCTGAGACAAGGGCTTCAAAAGCTTCAGAGTTCTGCTACCTTACGATCATATATTTGATTTTGTGGCAACATGTTGATTTTAAAATTAACAAGATAAGTATCTTGTTTTTAATATTGGGCCATCTTGTACCTCCATTTGAAACCCCTGGAGCCACGGTGGAAGGGTCAGAGTGACGCTGACCAGAGTACAGTAGAGGGCAGACTCCCCCGGCAGGGACAGTCCAGTGGATATTCCACTTGGCTCGGCAAATATCTTCACTATTTTGTGGTTCACTTCTCCTGTTCATCTTTTTTAAAGAACTGTCATGAGACCCAATGAGATGACACCAAGTTCTGAGTACAGCTGCCTTTATTCTTTGTAATGCAAAGGGAGGGCAGAGTGGCCTGGCAGGATTATGCAAGATCACTCAAGGTCAACAAGCAAGTTGGAGGTGAAGCCAGGACCCGGCTCTGGAGCAAATAATCCTCCCTCTCATCCGTGCTCGACTGACTGAATATTGTTCCTGCCTATTCCCAGAATAAACACACCCGCCTCCCGTGGGAGCAAATATAACACAACGACCTCAACCACAGAGCAAGAATTTATAACAATCTCGCGCTTACATTTCAATTAACAAGTGGATCTGTTCTTTAAGATCTTAGTCTGAGACTCCCTCGGAAGCCAGGGAAACATGGAAATTCAGGTAGCCTCTTCCTGTCTGTATCTGGCCCTATAACTGAGTTCTTTTCCTCTAAGATCCACAATTGTAAGTTTTATCAAGGAGGGAAGGAGAAAAACACCTATTGAGAAGAAACTTGTTCCATTAACCCACCAAGCACATTCTTTTTCTGAACTCCTGAAGCATTTATCATGCACTACCGCCTTGTTCAAGAACAATCTTCCAAATTTCTCTAGTTCTATTTGTTCTAAATGTAGTTTCACATACATCACCTTCCTTCTTCCTGGAACACGGCTAAGAGCCCAGGGCTTGAATCTCAGCCTTGCCACCTACTAGCCAGGAGATATTTGGGTAAATTATTCAATATTCTAAAGTGTCAGATTTGTCACCCAAAACGTAGGATAATGATATCTAACTCACAGGGTTGTTGCGGTAAGTGGTGTATACAAAGCGCTCACTGTAATGCCTGGCACATAGAAAGGAATTTAGGAACAAGTTCAAGATCACAGATGGAAACATACCTAAATGATTAAAAGTCAGTCGAATTGGCAAAGCTTATTTATGGTACATTGTGTTGTCAGTAAATATAGAATGATTGTCATAAATGCCAACAGAAGAAACAAGTTCTAGAATTCCTTCTTGATTATTACTAGGGTTGGAACCCTTAAAGACAGCCCAACTAGGGTCCTTGGAGGACACTGCAGCTTAATCATTAACGGATTTGTTCTAGTGTGCGCCATTATCTAGAACCTTCCTATGTTCCACCTGAACCCGTCTAAGGGAAGTGCATGGACATACAGGATACATGATGTAACAGCATCTTGTAACATGGATCTTTAAGGACAATGTTTCCTTAGGCTTCCTGGTTGTGTTATTCCCATTGTCTACATGAACTGACGTATATGGGTCAATAATCTTCACTCATTAGTAGATGAAATCCTTGATGTTGCTGATGGTAACACAAATTAGGCATCTATAGAAGTCACTAGTTGACACTGGTACTTGACAAGGGAATTTCTTCGTCCAAGCAGTCTGCCAAATGTTCTCTTGGGGCTCTCCAGCTGTCTCAACTTTCTGTTAAGATTTAGATTACACCATTATGCTGGCTGGACGCCTTTTTCTTTACTTTGATGGTGTAGCTAGTGGAAATGTGGAGTGCATCTGGTGATGGGGCAGCCTTGTGTTCTGGGGGGTCAGGGCTCCAAGTCTTTAATGGAGACCCAGGCACTGGGATATGCTCAACACACGGCATCAGTGACCACCAGCTCCTTCTCCGATTTCACAGGTCCACTGATGGGTTAGTATCCCACAAACACACAGCCTAAAATTCCCTACCACCATCAGCCCAGCCCACCAGCTGTTAATGCTGGTCTAATGATTCTAGCCAACCACACACAGAAATGTCTTTATTGGTTTGGACTTGTCAGAGTTGAGGCAAAGCAATAAATCTTTATATTATGTTCATTTCAAGACTCTGAGAAGCTAAACAGACGTCGTATGTCTTTGCAGATCTGGGAACGTGAAGACAACAGTGTGATTCTGAAATACACTTGCTCTGAATGGTGAGTCCTCTCAGAAAGAAGGCTGGCTCGTGCTTCTTTCCAGAAGTGCCCCTTCCTTGGTTAGTCAGTGAGCAGGTGTTCTGCTCTTATTAAGCTTTTTGGAAACTCTTAGCTCAAATTATACGGATCATCAAACATTTAAGAAGAAAAGCAACAAGGGTCAGAACACAATGTTGCACTTGGGCAAACTCGGGCTGCTGAGGTCCCAGATTCAGAACACCCTCCTACACCCAAAGACGGTAAGAAAGCAAGACAGTTCTGTTCACCCGCCCAGAAAGCTTGGTGCCTCCGGGAGAGCCATCACACAATGCAAAGCTCACGTCTGCTTCCGGGCTCCAAACACACCAAGAGCAGGTCTTGGCGTCACACGAGTGGCCT